GTGTGTGTGTGTGTGTGTGTGTGTGTGTATGCGTGTGTGGTGAGGTTATTTGCCATGGTACAAGCAAAGCAGGTTGCAGTTTGCAAAGGGAGAAAGATGATTGAAGTATGATTGAAGTATGATGGAAAAAGCTGTCACCTTGGGCAGGACCTCAGAGAAGGAGATGCAGACTCCAGCCTCCCCCACCTGCTCCTTGAAGTCTTTGATGGCGTACTTCCCGTAGTCGTCATCAGCAGCGATGGTGCCCACCCAGGTCCAGCCGAAGCGCAGCACCAGCTGGGCGATGGCTGTGGATTGGTGCTTGTCGTTGGGGATGGTCCTGAGGAAGGTGGGGAACTGGAACTTGTTTTCTAGGGCGGAGCAGCTTGAAGAGTAGCTGACCTGGAGGAGACACAAAAGAGAGCAGACCCAGGCAGTTTATTTGCAATTTTGTTCTACACAATTCTCCATTTGAATCTGTGTCTCAATACAGGGAATCATACTTGACCATTCTCCCTCTTGTAAGCTCAACATTCAACAACTTCAAAAAAAAAAGAAAGGATACAATTTTACTTTAGAATCAAGAGAAGTCTTATTTTTCTTTTAAGGCCACAAAGAGACTTGTTGCTGCCGCCTTTATGTCTATGTTGATGGTTGGTGATTGGCTAATGGTTACACAAGCCAAAAAAATCGTTATGACATCATAAAGTGGCCAAAATCTGATCAGCTCATTTTCAGACAGGTTTTTATATAAATGGATCAGGACAAAAGAGAGAGAATCTTTGTTCCTGAAACTTTCAGAATCTCTTTACACAGAGGGGACACATGTTGATGTAGAACAGACATGAAAAAGTGGATTTTGCATAATAGGTGACCTTTAAGGCCAGAAAGAGACTTGTTTATGTCTGTGCTAGACTGTGGTGATGTTGTGTATATGAATGTATCTTCTAAGCTCTTTGGATAGCATCTACCAAAGGTAAATACAATAAATAACAGTTGTTCCTTTCGTCTTGTCTTCCTCTAACCCCCCCCTGGCCTACCTGTGGGAAGTGATATAGCCCGAGTATCCTGGCGGTGGCGATGGACAGGTCGGACCCCCCGGCCCCCACCAGAGCCGCCAGAGGGGCCCCGGACCCGCAGCGGTAGTTGGGCACGGCCTCGTCCTGGCCCGTCAGGTAGGTGAGGGTCCCCTCCACCGCCTTGGAGATGGTGAAGCACGAGTCGTAGATCACGTAGCCCAGGTCGGTGTTCGGCAGCAGCTCGGTCCTCTCGTTGATCTCGTTGATGGCAAACAGCATGGTCTGCGTCCAGCGGAAAGTACGGAAGTTAAACCTGGAGCATGATGGGAGATTTATTACATTAGACAGAGTACAAAAGAAAGAAAGAATTAAACATATTTGGTCGTAAAGCACTTTTCATATGCAGGATGCAGCTCAAAGTACTTTAACAATATGGCAAGAAATGAAATTCAGGTCCAAGCCTTTTAGCACACATGCAGCATACATGATTTCAAGGAATACAAGAATAAAGAGAATTGAAAAGGAATATATGAAATAATAATAATAATCACACATTTCACAAAGTACAACCCCCATGAGACACAATTATTAAATATATTTTTTACACTATAAAATTAAATAATAAGAACAAATATTTACAAAAAGATGAAAAGACATCAATTAAGGCTATTTTTTTTTTAAACCTGTTTTTAGCTGTTGTTTAAAAATATGTATCGTATAGAGCGGTATAGAGCAAAATTGTAATACTTGCTGACTGGTGTATAGTGACTACTCTTGATGTTGTTACCTAAATGAGCCACGAGAGGACATATCACACACTTGCTGATTATTGTTGCATATTAAAGGCCTGCCTCCATAATGATATGTGCTACTGAGGCTAATTGGTCCCAGGAGTGCTGCCCTGCTCCATCTTAATTAAATTAAATCATGGAATTATTTCTGTTTCAGGAATTTAAAAATAATATAACTTCACTGAAATATTCTGACAATAATTAGTATCACAGTGATGACAGCTGAACTCACCCCTCACACCCTGAGGAGACGGGCAGCCTCGAAGTGTTTCCATCACTGGAGCTGATGCGTTTGTGGACAGGAAACATTCCGCCAACAACCACCTTCTTCTTCTCCACGTCCTTGTAGCCGCTCAGGTTGAACTTGGCCTTCAGCTTGCATGTAGATTCTGAAGCAACAGATCTGTAAAAGCATAAAAAGGCACATAATCCGAGCAAAAGGCGCCCGGTTTCCATGCTATATGTGCAGAAAAAAAGAAGAGAGTGTGTGGCGGACAGGAAGAAAACAGCTAAGTGTGACAGGTGTGTTATCTTCCCTCCAGGGGCAGAGATGCACCAGGTAACATGGGAACACAAATAGGGAGGAGGATTCTGGGTGAGGGCGTTTAATGTGTGTTAACACCAGGGTTGAGAGTGCTACTGTAAAGATGTTTTCCCTTACAATTACTATACCTGTAAAAAATATTTTAATCAGTAACCTAATCTGAATATCACATTATAAATGTAACCTGACCTCAATATCAAATGCAGATCAAATCAATAAAATAATAATAAATATCAATAAGATGTTTTTACTGACCTGTATTATCTTAGAAAAAAAGAAACCAATATATTTAGGGTCAAAAAAAGTTTAATTTATAGGAAAAGCTGCCTTTCATTTTCATTCAAAGAAGGGGGGGGGTTTATTCGTCACTTATGTTGATGTTCCGTTTTTTCTTGTTGTGTCTAGCTCCGATTTTTTTACAACTTTCCAAAGACTTTTGGGCAGTAGCCTATACACCAACAATGAAACACATGAGCACATACTACAGTTTAAAAAAGCAGAAATAAGTATTAGCCTACAGAACAGTACAGTTGACAGAGAAGAAATACAATCTGATCCTTTTACGACAAACCCAATATGCTCTTTTTAGTTTTTTTAATAACATTGTAATCCTGCTAGAAATCCACAATTTTTAGAAATGTAACAGTAACATGTTTTTTTATGTAGCTATAAGGGAATACAGCTACTTTTTTTGTATCCTAATTACATTATCCAGTTACATCCCCAAGCCTGATCGGTACAATCTCATTAATAGTGTGTAAAGTTACTTTGTTTTGTCTCCATCTAAGAGCACAAACTGGACCCTGGACCACCAACAAATGTAATCAAATGTCTCATATTCAGATGTATTTATTTCCTCCTCTACATATAAACCAGTGTATCAGTCTGCGCACCAGTCAGCTGCTGAGGATAATCTGCCACAGGCCGTCGGTTAATTGGCAGCTGCATGTGGTAACTTGTACAGAAATTCAACGCCGCGGCTACTGTTCCAAAATACTGCCCTGTCCCCTGAGTGTGTGTCTGCGTGTGTGTTGATGGCTGACTAAACTTGTCTGATCTTGTTTATAAGTCAGAGGGGAGGAACACACACCTGAACCCCCCCCCCCCCGCACACACAGGGACATCTGCAGGGTTACCGACTGCACACAAGTAGGATACCGTCTAAAACGTCTTTTAACAATCTGTCTGTTTACAGTAGTGTACAAAATGTCACTGGTATTAAATGAAGGGGACTAAAGGGAGGCTGCTGATGGTGAACGCGTGACTGTTTGACTGCAGCCTTGTGATCCGTCTCAGGCACATGAGAGACGTCTGACTAGCACTGATGACTTCTGCGAGAAATCAATTAGGTCGAGTAATTTTCTAAATGTACTCTTTCTGCCCTTGCAGACATCTGTAAAGAGGAGCATGGTTAAATAGAAAAAAATGGGCATTCCCCAAAAAACAACCATTGTGAGTTTTGAATACCTCCTCATTTAAAGAGGTCCTATTATGCGTTTCCTGTAGTGTGTTATATAGGTTTTGGTGCTTGTAAATGGTCTGCAAAGGCTAAAATCCTTAAGTTCCCTCCAGAGGGAGTTTCTCGCACACTTTCCCCCCTTGCCTGTAACGACTTCATTGGACTCCTGTTTACTTCCGGAACATAGTGACATCAGTATGTAACACTCAGGCTTCTATTGGCTAGCACTCCAACACATTGTACGTGATAGGCTAAGGGGCGGGACAGCTCTAAGTGGACAACAGAGCCGTTCAGCTAACCAATCAGAGCAGACTGGGCTCTGGTTTCAGACAGAGGGTGAAAAGAGGTGCTGCAGCACAGGCAGTATGAGTAAAATAAAGAGCTTTTTGAACATTAAAGGTAGGGTAGGTAAGTTTGAGAAACCGGCTCGAGATCGCTAGAATTTGAAAATACACAACCGGAGAAAATCTGCCACTTCCTTACAGAGCCCCTCCAACACACACAAACGCGCACATGACCAATGAGGGCACGAGATAAGTTTGTGCACAGATGGAAGGCTGACAGGCAGGTAGGCCATCCAGTCATTTTAGCCGGGCCGGCTAAAATGACTGGTCGTGCTTTTTACAGCGCTACGGCTTCCACAGATGACATTTTTTTATGGATTTTTTGTCAAAGCACTTCAGATATTTATTGCTATCGGGATGTTAAGAGCATTCCATGGAATATAACAAAAAGTGTATCTCGAGCCGGTTTCTCAAACTTACCTACCGTACCTTTAAAGCAGGGAAACATTACATTACATTCACAGTAGAGGCACTACATATGAACCTGAAATGCTGAAAATCAGCACAACAGGGGCCCTTTAATAAAAGCTGCATCTACTTTCACTGTAATCAGATCCTTGACTTAAAAAATAACATTAAAGTAAATCAAATAGCATGAGAAAATACCAATAATGTAAAAGAACCTTGGCACAAGTTCTTAACAATATCCACATTTGAATATTGTGCCTAGTTTAACATTACAGAAAATGAATAACAATTATTTACTATTGACTGTTTTCTTTCTCTTTTTCAGTTTAAGTGGCATTATTTTATTTGCCGTTTTGACTGTGAAGCAAAAGGTCCTCCAAAGGGTAACACACTTGAAAATCATCAGGCATAATTATTCAAAATAAAGTTATCTGAAAGTAGACGATCAGAGACAAGTTTGTAGGTGAGAAGTTTCAACATGGAGATCTTTATTAAAGCTCAATTTTTCCATTGTACAAATGTCATCATAGTTGAAACTGCATGCAGTGGCTTGGTTTGAGGCACGTTACTAAGGAGAATGAGCGATCAAACGGAACAAAAAACAAGATACTGAATTGCATAACTTAATCTTATCGATATTGCAATTAAATTCATATGATGTGTCCAATAGTATCAAGCTTTCCATGGAGAAATATGTAAGAGAAAAAAGATATAAAAGGCCGAACAGTGACAACTTAGGAAAAGCATTAATGTTGCAGGAGGGGGGTTTTGCCACTAAAGGTTAACAGAGGATGAGGCACCAAGACGTAATCTGGAGGCATGAGAACCACTGAGTGAAATGCTTCTACAGGGGTACAATACACTTTTAAAACCTCAGTTAAACCTGAGCACTGTATTCACTGAGCTCTAAACGACCAGACTAGAGGTGATGATGTGCTTCAGAACAGAAAAATAAATGCCTTTTTGAGTGAACGTACAATAGAGATGGCAACAAACACACTCTCAACCTGACCTTTGACACTACAGTGTGACACACTTAATAAGGATGTATATTAAACTGAAGAAAAAAAACATGAGCAAAAGAGCAGCCAAATAATTTTGAAATGACAACAGCAATTTACACAATGTGGTTATAAACTCTACTATACTGTACTTTTGTTATTAATTAGTCCTCCTGCCATGTTTTATTCTTCATAAAAAGCATACATATTGCAGCACGAGGAGAAACGGTGTTTTATCCTCCTGTTCTGGACACATTAAGAGTCCAGGTTGGAAAGAAAAAAACAGAAACAATAAGAACAGGCACATAGAAAAGTTCCCCATCACTATAGAGTTGGTGCAGCGTCGATTTATTTATTTATGTTCCGACCCGGGAGTTAGCATCGCAAACGGTTCCCTCGACAAAACGCAACAGGATTTTTCCATTGGAATTTAGTGGAAAATAAGCTCCGTGGAAAACAAACGTTCATGACACTTACGTTTTGTTCAGCAGGATAAACTCCAATTAACACCACGTTGTGATTTTCAATCAATGCAATCGGCAGAAGTAAGAAGACATCTATAGGCTATGCTAACTTAGCTATAAAAGGAACTACAAGCACGGTCACTTGACTTCACCACCGCTAAGCTAAATGCAGCTAATGTTCGTTGTGATGACGTACAGCAGTTTGTTTAGACAATTGTTAGCAACTGCCGTTTTACTGACGTATTTTATGTCGTTGAATAAAATCTATTTCGCTTGTTTTAACCACAGAACTTATTTCAGGCTAAACACTGGAAGTGGTCAAATGCCAACTCGTATCCGCGTTTTAAGACTCATTCCTGCACCACTCTATTGGCCTCCTGCCTCCTTATCACTCTGAAGCTAATGTGGGGTTGACCATGCGTTACAGCAACAAGTCAACAAATGTAGCTCGGCTCGGATCCTCTCAATGTTATACATCACACAGCATATTCTACTTTTGGCAAAACAAAAAGCTTAAAATTAATTGATTGGTCACAATCAAGGCCTGTTCAGATTTTTTTTTTAAAGAAAAAAGCTCAGTATACAGGCTGTAAATGGACAGGGAGGATAGTCTTCGGTGTAATAAAACAAAATGACTAAAACTCTCCTGCTCTTTCATTTCATGACACTTTTTCTTTTGCTTGTTTTTTTGTTATTTTTGAGCTCTTCCCGTAATGCAACCTGAGGTACAACATCTTTCTGAAGTCTCACAGCTTCTCACGTTTAAATGACTGGAACAGGAAGCAGCCTTTTACCTTTTTATAGTCACACAGAGGAAATACATAGATGCACATGGATCAAAAATGACAATATATTATCAATAACCAACATTAATCAGTCCCTATCACCGAAAAATATTAAGACCAGGGGGGAGTGGTGGCGCCTTTGCATGTGCGCCCGTCACAGTACGCTCTGCCTTCCGTGGGAATGTTGAAGAGAGGAGGAAGGAAGGAAGGAAGGAAGGAAGGGAGGGAGGGAGGGGGTGAGGGAAGGGAGGGAGGAAGGAGAGAAAAGGAGAGAAGTTCCCCAGCCCTCTCTGATATTTGTAAATGTGTTTGTGCATTGTGTGTTGAGTGTGTGTGTGTCCTGTCGGTCGTGTCGTGTTTTATTCCCACTCTGTGGTGCCGGGGGGTTTGGAGGTCAGATCGTACATCACTCTGGAGATGCCTGGGATCTTCTTGATCTCGTTCACCATCTTCAGCACAACCTGGGAAATCAGATCGGACAAATACATTTGAAAATGTTGAAGAAATATTTAGATTCAAACATTATTGGTCCCTCCTTCATAAGAGCCACAGATTCAAAAAGACACCGCTTTGCATCTCTATAAGATCATTTTCTAGTGTTTTGTGTCCTTGTGGTCACATTCTGTATCTGTTTTGGATCACTTTGTACAAAGAGATGCAGTATGTTTACAAAAGGATGCAATCTTGCCTCCTGGTGGTCATACTCTGTCTCTTTTTGGTAATTTTGCATCTCTTAAAATGTTGGGTTTAGTGTCCTGAGGGTGTATTTGGTGTGTTTTTTGTCATTCTGTTTCTCCGTTTGATCATTTTGAGTCTTTTTCAGGTCATATTGTATCTATTCATGGAGATTTTGCATCTCAAATAACATTTCTGTTGAGTTTTGCGTCATTAGGCGCTTTCACACCGCAGTACTTTTCCCACTTTAGTTCCGATATAGTTCCAAAATGTTGCGTTCACACCAAAAAAAATTAACTCTCATGAACTAAAATTAGTTAATGAGAACCTTTTTACCCCCTTTTCCGTCCCTGCTAGAGAGCAGGGACTTTCGTGGGAGAAAAAGGTTCCTATTTCTGATTGGCTGGGCGAATTGCAAACCACGCCCCGTAAAACTCCCAAAAAGTTTTGTGAAGCCGCCATTTTATTATCCTCGCATTAGCATTATTAGCATTAGCCCAGCGCACAAACGCAGAGAGACTAACTTATGGCAACACAAAAGAAAACATGGGAGCGGTGGAGATGAGGTGTCGGCGTTCTGGCGATTTACTCTGAAGGCTTCAGTAGAAGCTGCTGGGAGTCCCAGCAGCTTCTACTGAAGCCAGTCCCCAACTCCGGGGACTTCGGGTGGCAGTATACTCCGTGAAGTTGTTTGCGGCCTGCCAGTAAACCCAAAGCAGAAGAAGACGAAGTGACGTCAGCGGCTTCATTTGCCTAATCCCCCAGGGACTTATTCCGGTGTGAACGCGATCTGTACTTAGTTCATGAGAACTAAAGAGTTCTCATGAACTAAGTTCTGATGAACCTTTGTGGGAAAAGTACTGCGGTGTGAAAGCGCCTATTGAGGTTGTTTGTTTGTTTTGATAGACATTTTGCATCTCTTCTTAAATCGCTTTGCTACAATTTATGACTTTCTAACGATAAATATTAACAGTAACTTTAAACAGAGGCTCTGCAGCTCAACAGGTGAGAAGGACCCTGGGTCTGTGCCCATTAGGCCAGATCAGTAATCTGTCCACGATGACAGTTTAAATAATGGCTCCAAATCTAGCCAAACACCCAGTGGAGGGGTTAAACCCTGGCTTACCTCTTCTGGGATGTGGTTTCCGGGCTGGGCGGGGATGCCGGTCATGAAGTCGCTGGTGATGAAGGTGCGGATCACCACAGAGCGCCGGCAGGACGGCTGCTTCTGCTGTGCGTCACGGTCAAAGTGCAGGGGGGTCAAAATGATCGGCATCTGGCTGATCTTACCGGAGTAGCCTGAAAAGAAGACAAACAGAGAGGAGAGTTTTAATGCTGCTCAGAAACCATTAGAACACACTACAGGAAAGGGAGAACCCCAAAATGTCTTACGTTAGACCAATATCTAATGTGGACAAAATAATCCAGAAGACCTTTAAATCCATGTTAATCATATCATCATAAATTGGCATAGTCAGGAAAATACCAACATATCCCAAAAAAAACGTTTTTACAGGAGAACGGATAACTGGTCTGCTTCTTGGGAAACGTTAAATTCCCCATGAGGATGCAAGTATGCAGACTTGTACACCACTCTGGATGTGAACTTAATAATACCATGCTTGGTAAGGAGTGAAAGGTTTTAGAGACATTGTATTTTTAGATATTCCTGTGGTTGCATCAAGTAGCTCAGACATACTTATCAAATATAGGTCCTTCCTAATAATCTGTAATGCTCCAAAAACATAGGGTCAATTTAAAAGTCTAAAGCCACTTGGAGACACACTCACCAGACTCTCGGAGGATAGAGTGAGCTACAAAGTCCGCCTGTCTGATCGTGCTCAGAACGCCTGTGGTCAGGAAGGTGGGGGTGATGTCTGTGGGAGGCTCCTTCACGTGAGACCCAAACACATAAACAACTCTGTGAAAAGAGAGAGACGAGAGGGAACGGGTGAGTGTGACTGCTGTTAACAGAACAGTGTGTAATGGGGATGAGGATGAGGAGGGACGAAGGGTAAAGCAGAGGAGTGTGTATTACCTGTTGATGCTATGGCACATGCGAGGGATGAGTCTGGACAGGAACAGGAGAGACTCCCAGTGAGGAGACTCTTTACTCGTGATACCGCACACGTAACTGTAGGACCGGCAGTCACCCTGGGACAGCACAGTTACTTTGATTATTTCAAGTAAAAACTAAGGGTTGTTATAAAATAACACAAGAGAACATCAATCTTCAACAAATGTTAGATGAACATAAGAAAGAAAGAGAAAGAGAGAGCGCATCCTGATTTTAACTACCCGTGAGCTTCATGATTGATACAAAAAATACTTGCATTGGATTTTAAAGCTTTTAATGGTCCTGGGCCTAGCTTTTTATTAAATCAGTGTTTAATTTATGAACCCAGTAGAATCATCAGGTCCTCTGGTGCTTGCATTTTCATTATAATGTAATCATATATTACTAATTTAACTAAAAAAGGTCAAACATAGACCAACAGTGAGGTGTATTTTAATTAAAATGACTTATTTTATCATTTTTTTCAAACTTTTTTTTTTTTTTTTTACATTTTTCAATGTCTGCTTAATAAAAAGTGATGTGATGTTAGAGGAAATCTGTCTGTTTTCACTCCCATAAAATCCCTCAGGCAGTGAAGGCTGCCTGTGTTTGTCCTCCGCCTCCCGTCTGCCCCACAACTTCAGATTCAGGGTAAATGTAAAACAGGAAGTGGGAGCGCACACCCCCACAGAAACACACACAGTCACTGGCTGGCTGAAAATAGTCATGATGATGATTTTCTTCACTAAAAAGGTCAGTTAAAAACCACAGGAAAGTGTTGTTTCTGTTGCTATTTTTAGATACAAAGCACTTCTTTATATGTGTCAGACACGAGTCTGTGTTAACACGAGTCAAGATCAGAGGAGGAAACTAAAACGTGCCACAATAGTTTGAGCATATTCAGGCTTTGGGAGTAACAGATTATATGTAATGGGTAATAAGGATACAGAAAAGGTAACTGTATTCAGTCAGTAGGGGCTTGGACTAGGAGCTGTAAGGTCGCCTGGTTCAAGTCCCCGACCAGACCTAAATAAGGAGTGCTACTTGGAGAGGTCCCAGTTCACCTCCTGCCCTGCCGTGGTGCCCTTGAGCAAGGCACCGGACACCCCCCCACTCCCATTGCTCCCCGGGCGCTGTACAATAGCTGCCCACTTCTCCTAGTACTAGACTCCTGGTACTAGGATGGGTTAAAAGCAGAGAACATATTTCACTGTGTGCTCTGCATGTGTGACTCATCCCTCCCCAATTATATTTTACAACTACATAAAAAAAAAAAGACGTTACTGTTACATTTCAGTATTTGCTTAGTGCTAGTAAAAAACAAACAAAATAGCATTTAGTGTTTGTTGTAAAAGGATCAGAATTTGTATTTCTTCTCTGTAAGCTGTACCGTTCTAGTGTGAATCTAAACATATAAATATTAACTGTAACAGATTACATTTTTTAAAGTAACCCTCCCAACCCTGAACATATGCCTCCATGTTTAGTTACAGAGAGAAAGAAACTGAGGTTGTGCGTGTGTGGGTGTGTCTCGTGGTTAACCACTAAGTTATAGTTGGAACAAAACGAGACAAAGAGGGACATACTGTTTCCCCCAGCAGCACTGCTAAATACTTTTAAATACTCAACAGCTCCTAAAGAAAATAACTTTGAAATCTTTCACTTCAGTCACGGCAGCAAGTCCTCTTTAAAATTGGACTAAAGGGTTAAAACATTCGGGGCACACATTATTGGAGGCATTATTCACATGTTGTGAGATAGAGGATTGACTGTTATGGCTACTTTTACTTATATCCGAGTACTTCTTACACCCCTGTAAAAATGTATTATAAAAAGCGTGTTTTAAAAGTATTTCCTGGGCAGTGAAGAGAAAACAGAAAAATAAAAGTTTGACTGAGGGGTTAATTGTGCGACTGGTTTACCTGGACGCCGACAGTTTTGATGGGCAGCAGGAAGGCATTGAGTGAATGAAGGCTGGTGATCTGCAAGAGCTTCTCCTCCTCCTCGTCTGATATGCACGACTTGACTCTCTGCAGCAAGGTGTGAGGCTGCAGGAGGGAGAGGGAGAGAGAGGTTTAGAGCAGCCTGTTGAACCAGTGTAACTTCTGTTTAGGAGTTGTTGTTTTGTTTAGGAGTCAGGCAAAAGAAAATATTTGAACTTTTCAGAAAAGTAGGGTTAGGTCAGAAACGATCATTACAAATATTTAAAAGCCTGTTTGTTGTAGCAATCAGCCAAGTGTATATTAACTGGAGCTGCTGGTGAGTGTAGTACTTTTATCATCCTCCTTATTTGCTATATGGCTGTCAGATGGTGTCATGAAGCTCATTCAGAAAAAGCGTGAGCAAGAATTTTCCGATTTGTTGTAAAAAAGTGAAAAAACAATGTCCACAAATATATAGTAGCACAAACAGATGATAGAAATCAAAGGGGGCTAAGCCACACAACAGCAGTGATATATTATTTATATTTTGCTGGGAGGATGCAATCTCTAGCGTGTTTCTACCAGGGAAGGACACAGGCCCCAAGTCATCAGTATCATTTGGTTTGGTTCAATGTGGCCAACCACCCAGCAGAGGTTGCACATTAATTACTTTATAAATAACGAGCAAGGACACAAATGTCTCCTCAGTTGGAATATGGGCAGAGCTTCCTATGTACTGTTAAGTTGGTTAAAGGTCACCTATCATGCTATTTTTAGGCAATAGCATAGGTCTCAGATATATACAAATATATAAAAAACATGTCTATGAAGTGTTTTGCTCAAAATACCAAACAGATCACCCATTCTAGCCATGCCTCATATCCCTCTATTTCACTTCCTGTTTCAAAAGTGCTGATTTGGGGAATAAAGCCTTAAAAACAAAATCGATAAAAAATTAAAACGGAGGGGGCTGAGCTCATGCGGGACCCGGCAGCTACTGTCTAAACTAAATACTGCCGTGATGAAACGCCATATCATGGATTATCAAGGATTGTTTCTGAAACAGTATGGAGCTCAAAGGCTTTCTCTCTTGCCGGTTATACCACAAGGTGAGTTCCTTTTTATTTCCTGCTTCTTCACACACATGCTCTCCAGTACAGGTTAGCTCTGAGTGTTAGCGATGCTAATGTAAACATGCACCGACCATATTACGTCCAAAACAGTCGGGCATTGTTTCTGATAGCAACTTTTCTGATAGGGCCGTGGGTGTAAAGCCAGCCTACATTTCCGATATTACGTCATATCGGACGCAAATCTGGATCAGCTCCGTTGTAGCCCCGTTTTTAGAGATTTGGGTATGGAGGAAAAGAGAGAGGGTTTTATTTTCTGACGCTGCGTGAGTTCCCCGACACACCGGGGACACATATTTATGTATAAAAGACATCAAAAAGTGCATTTTGCATGATAGGTCCCCTTTAAGTTAGAATTTGAAGATTAAAGCATGGAAACATGTCACAGTAGAGGCATAAAATACAAATATGAACCTGAAAATAAGCAGATTATGTCCTCTTAAAAAGTCTGTGTGTTGGTTTGTCATTTAACATAGCAGAAAAGAAACACAGAAATAATGTCTTGTTTAAATTTACAGTGACAAGATGTTTTATCATATTTCCCTAAGCACAGAATTTCAGATGACTGCTCATTAGATTTCCTTCATGCATCGGTACTGCTCTCACCTTTTTGATGCTGGCAGAGAAGTCTGTGATGATTTTGAGGATGTTGTTTGTTTCAGCAAAGTCCTTACAGATGAAGGGCTCCTCGGCACAAATCACTCGGATGGACAAACCAGGACCTATGGAGGCGAAGCAGACAGGAAGTTCACTTTTTAGCAAATACAGTCAGTTTTGAGTCTGTCTGATTGAATAAGGGGAAGGAAGATGCATATAAAAAAGGAGACAGTGATAGAAATATCATCACTAACACTTTGTTTACAATGTGAATCATCACTTTTGTTTTGCGAGCGTTTGTTACTTGCCAGGGAAAGGGTGTCGGCAGACGATCTCCTCCGGCAGACCCAGCTCTCGGCCCAGCGCTCTGACCTCGTCTTTGTGGAAGTCTTTCAGCGGTTCGATCACTTTTCCCTGGAGGATCACAAAGGAGAGGAATCAGCATTTAAACAGTGTGGGAGTTTGCTTAGGTGTTGCATAGTGATTCGTTTATAAGAAAAGAGCTGAGAAAACACAAAATATATGAACTGTAAACAGCTGAAAATAAAAGAGGGTGAATGTCATTTGCAGAAGCTTCACTATTGAAAAACAAAAGCCTCTATAAAAAGGGATAAAGGATGATATATATTTTCAATGAAGGAGTATATGATGTTTGCTGTGCTCCCAAAAATGTTACTTAAACATGTGGTGATTGCCTGATGGCTCTGCTTTCATAATCTCTTCTCTAAACTGTAACTGTTATTTTTGAACAATTGTTATCTTATTTATATCCTTGAATGATCATTTATATCACATATTCCTTCAAAGCATTATAAGAGAGCACAGTTTGATAATCTGTATCACTGCTGTATCATACTGTGCTACAAAAACTTGTTCTTATCAGAGACGACTCAAATTGTCAGTTCAAATTATCAGTTCAAATTGTCAGTTCAAAATGTCAGTTCAAATTGTCAGTTCAAATTGTCAGTTCAAAATGTCAGTTCAAATTGTCAGTTCAAAATGTCAGTTCAAATAGTCAGTTCAAAATGTCAGTTCAAATTGTCAGTTCAAATTGTCAGTTCAAATTGTCAGTTCAAAATGTCAGTTCAAATTGTCAGTTCAAATTGTCAGTTCAAAATGTCAGTTCAAATTGTCAGTTCAAAATGTCAGTTCAAATTGTCAGTTCAAATTGTCAGTTCAAATTGTCAGTTCAAAATGTCAGTTCAAAATGTCAGTTCAAATTGTCAGTTCAAATTGTCAGTTCAAATTGTCAGTTCAAATTGTCAGTTCAAATTGTCAGTTCAAATTGTCAGTTCAAATTGTCAGTTCAAAATGTCAGTTCAAATTGTCAGTTCAAATTGTCAGTTCAAATTGTCAGTTCAAATTGTCAGTTCAAATTGTCAGTTCAAATTGTCAGTTCAAATTGTCAGTTCAAATTGTCAGTTCAAATTGTCAGTTCAAAATGTCAGTTCAAATTGTCAGTTCAAAATGTCAGTTCAAATTGTCAGTTCAAATTGTCAGTTCAAATTGTCAGTTCAAATTGTCAGTTCAAATTGTCAGTTCAAATTGTCAGTTCAAAATGTCAGTTCAAATTGTCAGTTCAAAATGTAATCTTTTAAAATTCAAAGGACGTCAGTGTTAGCAAAACAGGATATTGTTTTGATGATAAGATGTATTGTGTCGTTTGTTGTGCAATATGTTTTCCACTGCAAGAAATTAAGTAGTAGATTAAAGTTATGAGCATATTAGTAGATAATATACAACATACACATCATATTGATATTTATTTTCTCTTGTATTTATTTGAATTTGATATTGAGGTCATCCAAAAGTAACAAAAAGTAATCAGGTGACATTACTTTTTAATACTCTGAGCCTTTGTGTGTGTGTGTGTGAATGTGTGCAGTACCTCATCTCGGAGTTTGCGGATGAGCTCGGTGTCGTTGTGGTGCGTTTTGATGACCTCCGCCTTCCCGCTGGCGAGATGAGAAGCGCTCTCGATGAGATCCGGCCGCAGGGTACCCTGGGCCAGGAAGACCTCCTCTGGCTTCAGATTCATCTCTCCGATCACTTCATTGGCAACCTGGGGCACCACGAGGCAAAGAGTCAGACACAACAAGGACCTGGTAAACTAAAAACATTTAAGCAGCTATATTGGCAAGAGACGGCTAGCCGGCAGGTTCATAAATCATAAAATAGGATAATAGCATCTTTAATACTTTTGTAGAGGGTCGATTGAAACGAGTACTCACTTTGACAAATGTATCTCCGATAATCTTTCTTTTCTCTTCTGGGTTGGTAGTCATATTCAGAGTCTTGCTGATACGTTTTCGTGGCGTCCGGTCCTCCTCAGAGATGGGGAGGGTTGTCGTTCCGTTGTAGAAGGTGTGAGCAGCGTTTACCACTAAATAAAGAAATATTTTAGAGAAAAGACACATTTGGGTTATGAGCAACAATAATAAATATTATACAACACTTCAGTATACTGTGATATTCAAAGTTGCCACGGTCGTAGTCATATAATCCATAAAATGTGAAGGAATGTGTCACATATGTCACACTTTGAAAGGTATGGCTTATTGTAAGTCGATTTGGATAAAAGCATCAGCTAAATGTAATGTTATGTAATACTGAATATCAACTGCTATCACATGGAAGTACACACAGAGAGATGTACTCCGCTGACTTGAAGGTCTTATTGTAGCATCCCGGCGTCATTTAGAACTTTGTCCCCATGTGAATCTGTACCTTTGAGTTTGATGCCCAGCTTGGTGAGGGCCTCCTCCACGCTCTGACTCTCCCTCTTCCTCATGAAGCCATTGTCGATGTGAACTGCGATCACCTGCTCCTGGTCCAGAGCTTTGTTCAGGAGAGCTGTGCAAACTGTCGAGTCGACCCCACCGCTCACCAGCACCTGAATAAATCATCAGAAACAGTCAGGAACTATTCAGCAAGCTACATTTGTGATCTGTCTGGATAATCATTGAAAGTATAAAATGCTCCGTTCCACAACATAGCATAATAACTACAAAGAGAAGCATGTATCCCTCAGACTGTAGTTCAACAAGAAACAGATTTCTTTTTTGTATAAGTCTTGCTTTGAGGGTTTTTCTTACACTCATTTATCCTCATCACATCCCCCTGAGATGCAGCCTAGTTTGAAGCCACTTCAGGGAGTCCACTTCCTCTTTCCAGATAAAAAAGGGTTTAATTTGAGAGTTTAATTGGTTCTACTTTACTTCCCACCACTGCTGCTGCTGCCGCTGTCACCACTTCACATGCAGCAACCCAGCTTTAGACTTTTATGTTAATATTCTATAGGATTAGAAAATGTGTTCTTCTGTTTCCTGCTGAAAAATTGTTTGGATAACAAACACACAAATCAGGAAACATTACTGGACGCTGCACTCGGTCAGAAACCAGAGGAGACTGTGAGGTCCACCATAGACGGACCACTTTGACAAAATGTCCTCTCCATTAAAAAGGCAGCTCATTGTGGAATAGCCTCCCAACTCAGATACGGGATTGTCCCACTCTCAATAGCTTCAGAGAATGGTTGAGAAACAAACAGATGTGTAATCACCGCTAAATGCACTTTAACACAGGGATATCTCCTCTTGCACTTTATGTAGCTATTGTATCTTCTCTTGCACTTTACATGTCGTTGCTGCTAGATTGTATTACCATGTCATAAATACTTGTGTATGCTGCTCTTGCTCTTTTGCACTTTTTGCATATCATGTATTTTGTTTTTGCAATGTTTGTAAAATGTAATTTTCTTAAATGTTTTATGTGAGGGACTGCGGATGGAAATTAGCTCAAAGCTAAATCTGGCACTGTTACGCTTGACAAATTGTAATGTTTTAAGTGTTCATTACTGTGCATTGTCCCTGCCAAATAAACAATTAAATAAAAAATAACTAATTTTTACTCACCAGCACTTTAGATTTGCCCACTTTCTCTTTGATGTCGTTGATGCAAACTTCTTGGCGGTTTTGTACGGTAAAGTTACTCGTGCATCCTGCGATCTCAAACAGGAAGTTACGGAGCATTTCGATGCCTCTCTCCGTCAAGTCGACCTCAGGGTGAAACTGTGTCCCGTACAGCTTCTTCTGTTCGTTAGCAATCCCTGGTGGGGAACACAGATGTGCCAAGGAACTGTTAACCTGGGTAAGTATCATCTTTAAATGCTACTTTTAAAGAAATACAAAACAAAACTAGTAAAACATCAAAACACAATAGGGCTTCTTTATGTAACGCATTGAACCCACGACTTGTAATGGAGTTATTAGCACTTTTAATTAAGTAAAATAATAATACCACTGCATGTGCTACTCACCAGCAATGATATTCCCGGATTGGGCCACCACCTTAAAGCCTTCAGCCACTTTATCCACACTGTCTCCGTGAGTCAGAAGGACCAGTTCCTCCTTCTGAAGGCCCCTGATAAAATAAACACACATTGATGTCAGAGGTACAATAACAACACATATACAGGGTTGGCAGATGTACTTTAATAATGTAATCTGTTACAATTACTAGTAACCTGCAAAGAAAATATTCTAAGCAACCTAATCCGAGTATCACAATGTATAAATAATGTAACCTGATTACTTTCCGATACTTTTGAATCACCTCAATATCAAATGCAATGCAAATAAATACAAGAGAAAATAAATAAAAGCAGGTGTCCACCTATTGCATTTAAAAAAAAAAAAAGATATTCAAAATAATAATCTTGAAGTCAAATGTAATACCTTTTTTTTAAGACCCTTTCCATACATTTTAAGACCTCATCGCCAGTTTGAGTTTTAACCGGTTACATTGGCGACACACTTTACCTCACATTTACTATATACAGTATTGATTGTCCTTCCTCCTTATCTTCCAACCATTTGGACGCAAACTTGCATTTCCCCATAACGATGTTGTTTAACAGCCGGCGTAAACGGGCCTTCGCGCGCTATCAAGCAGTGAGCGTGCGATGTCCTGTTCAGATGACGTCAAATCCAACGGGATGCCATAAATAAACTACACAGAATCACACTACACACCTACGCAATGATTACATTCAGGCAGACTGTAGAATACAACCTCTTTGGACAATTGATATACTTATTGAAAACAAGCTACAAAATGTAATACCTTGGAAAATGCCGTTTAATACTTTTTAATAGCCTTCATTTTCGCTAAATTGATTTATCAACTTTTAATACTTTTTAAGACCCCGCGGACACCCTGAAAGATGGGTTAGGACTTGCAGATCCAAGAATCCACATCAAAATACAGTTTGTTTTGTTTGATATTTATAATATAATAACACATAAAAGAAGACACCATTTACCTGAAGAGAGAACAAGTGTTGTCCAGTCCAATACTGAAGACTCCATCTTCCCTAACACTCTTTTTGTGCACGGTGCCGCCAAAGACTTTATTCATCATCTGTAACAAACACACACCCACAACTGAGTTAACACATGGACATAAAATAACATGTTAGTGTGACTGCAAACATGTTAGAAATGCCGGGTGTATAGAGAAATGAGATGGAGAATGGATGGCTGCTGGTTTTCATTTACAGGCCAGCTAGGAAAGCTTAGTGAGTGATGTTCTCAGTTAAAGTGCCCTTGAAGAAGGCTGTAAAGTCACAGCTGTACCCAGGAGATATAACAGCAGCCTGGAGTAGAGTGATTGTAAAGTGTAGCTACTCATTGTGAAATGTATGCAATGAAAATGCTTCCTCGAACAAAGGAATTGTGGTATAAAGATAGTCTACATAATGACTTTAAAAGCCTCGCATCACATGATTTAAATGTGGGTTAAATATCACAATATTTCCCCAACATTAAGTGGAGTAGAAGTATAAAGTAGAATCAAATTAAAAGACTCAAAATGTACATAAATACCTGCATCCCATAGCAAATCCCAAGCACGGGCTTCCCGATAGTGAATATGGCCGGGTCAAACCAGGGGGCGTCTTCTGCATACACAGAGGCTGGACCTCCTGAGATGATGATGGCTCTAGGAAGGAGAAGAAAGAGAACAATCATGCAAAGGTAACCATCTTTATTTTGTTTTTACGGGTAACTAGTAGTCGTACATATATTTTTTAAAGTAACCCTCCCAACCCTGCTCACCTGTAGCCCTGTTCTCTGATGGCGAAGGCCGGGGTCTCCAGAGGGAGGATCTCAGAGCGTACAAACATCTCTCGCACCCGTCTGTCGATCACCTTGCCGTACTGGGCCCCGGCATCCAGGATGGCCACCGCCCCCTCACATGATCCATTCTGCTCTTTGCTGCTGATATCCAGCTGTGGTCAAGCACATTCAGAAAAAACACACATTGTGTTGTTTTAAGTGCTGAGTGGGCAGAAAAGTGTACACCCATAGTCTCTTTTGCACACTAGTGCATACTTTTTATCGAGTAACACAAAGAAAATGTTGTTTTTAATGTTTTCTTTAGAGGTGATTTAAGGCAACCTCTGGCCTACTCTCTGGCTCCACTTTTGACCTCAAGCGTGGAAAATGTGACCTAATAAAGGCCTAACACAATTAAGGACATGTGAGCTTCAATGCAGACACTGAGTCACTCTTCAAACGTGATGTAACCATTCAGCTCATCAGTTGAATCACATGAATCCAACAAGTTAGTCAAAGGCTCTAATGAGCAGGGCACACTTTTTTAGCTGTGACACAAAGATGTAGGTTTGGATGTTTATTAAATAAAAAGTGCGCTGATCAGTTTGTGTGCAAGAAGAGAAACATTTTCTATAGTATTAATTGCACGGAAAGATCATCCGTATTGCAGCAAACTTAAAAAACAGATGATTTTAATTTAAAAGATGATTTTGTATGATTCGTTTACCCCGTTAGTGTCTTTGAGAAATAAGCATTCTAAAATGGTTAATGATTATTATTATAATAATTTGAGTCCCTGGAGTTCCTAAAAAACGAATTACATTTAAATTTGAATGAACAAGTTGCAAAAACATGCAACAGAGACATACAATACTGGAAATGAGTGTGAAAAAGTACTTCGATCCTTTACTTAAGTGGAAGTAGAAATACACTGGTCTTAAAATACTCCATTACAAGTAAACGTTTTGAATGTGTTAGTTAAGTATACAATATTTAGCAGCAAAATCAATATTCAAAGTACTTGTAATACAGAATGGTTGTTTTTACAATATTAAATGTAGAATATTATGATATCCAGTTTGTATGACTCACAAATACTTTTAAGAGCATATTATAATTGTATATTTTTGTAATAATGTGTGTAGGCTATGTACTGTACTTTCTACATTTTTTTATAATCAATGTGTTAGTCAAGTAGAAGTACCATCAGCTAAATTAACTCAAAGTATCAAAAGTAAAAGTACTGACGATGCAGAAAGATTGTTTTTACAGTGTTACATTATTGTAAAATAATATAATATCCAGTTTAGAAAGTAACCGAGTAAATGTGAGGCTCTGGTTGTCACACCGATAACGTTACTAGCTTAGTGACGACGTTAGCAATCCTGTCAGTTAACGTTCAGTTAGCTTAAAGTGAGTGACAGCATCCGCTTCAAATAAATAACCACAATCTCAATGTCACTTTCCACAAATAAACGCAAACGCAGTAATAATACTTGACGTTGGACAAAGAGTACCATCACAACAAATGCGCACTGCCCAGCTAAAGCTACATCTACCAACTGCCTGTGTAGCATGCTAGCTCGCTGGTATTATAAACAGTAGTTGTTAGCAGCATTAGCATGTTAGCAGCACGTCCGAGGCTAAGTTAGCGGGGCTATGCTAAAACCCACGCGGTGCTTGGAGGCTCTTACGGGGGGCTACAACATGAGAAGAAGTCAGTGATTACATTAATGTAAAACATATGTGTTTTTAACATAATTAAGACAACCTGACTGAAGCTATGAGCAACATGTTAATGTAACATTGCAACAGGCATACAGCAGTGGACCTGGTGGTAATGCTCTCTAACTTTCCCCCCGAGGTACAAACACACACACAGGCCGGAATTAACACCAGCAACCCGGGGTCCTAACACCAAGTTACCCGGGCTGATGGGTTCTATGTCCCTGCTCCACTGACCTTGCTGTCTCCGTTGCACACAGCCATAAAGACGTGTTGTGGAAGGAGCTCTCCCTTTGCTGTGTCCCGGAGAGAGAGAGAGGGAGCTTCTGGTTAGCTCCTGGCTCAGCAAACCGACTACTGTTTCCAAAGCAGACTTGGGTTGTTGTTGGGGTTGGAGATGGACTGTCACAGGCTCTCCTCCTCTCCGGCTAGAAATAACTTTCTCAGTGGGAACAGACTAAATAAATGTGTCTGTGTGTGTTATGGGTGGAGCGCAAAGTTAAACCACAAAATGAAAGTGAGGGAGAGTGTGGCCCCAAGAGGGCTGGGCTTAGACACAGACTAGGGTGAATTTGATTTATCATGTTAAAAAATATGGGTAGTGGGTGCCGGTTATGTTTTATGACCAGAGGTGGAAAGTAACTAAGTACATTTACTCAAGTACCGTATTATTTTGACATACTTTACTTGAGTGTTTCAATGTTATGCTACTTTATACTTCTACTTCACTGCATCTCAGAGGTCAACATTGTACTTTTTACTCCCCTACATTTATTTAACACTCATATAGTTACTTTTTATATAAAAACATACAATATGCTTACATTATTTGAGTGATACAAACAGGATAATATATTGTTATTTTTTAAATACTTTGAAAGAGCCATTCTGCATACTTTAAGTGTTGGTACTTGAAGTACATTTAGCTGCCAATACTTCTGTACTTTATGTTATTCTGAAGTGGGCCATTGTGCACAATGAGTACTTTTACTTTTTGTACTTAAAGTACACGTTGATGCTAATAATTTTGTACTTTTACTCAAGAAATATTTTTTATTCAGGACGTTTACTTGTAATGGCGTATTTTAAGACCCTATGAATTTGATATTTGCATAAGGGAGACACCCTTTTTTATTTACAACATTACAAACAGGCCTAATAAACAAGTGGTATTAAAGGGATAGTTATCTCTTATAGTTCAAATATTTGTATTATCTCAGTTTATGTGTTTGTGTTCATATCACCCACCCATAGTAACTGCACAATGTTGATATACAATCTGCACACACTCAGAGCCTCTTACTTATGTCAGGCAGGGACAACAAGTATGTGAGAGGATCACCCTGTACTTCAACACATCTTCTACACAGCATTACTTCCAGGAATTTTTTCTCTTTTTCCTTTTTCAGACGCAATTAATTACCACATACCTTACCTTCAGGCTCATTGTTTATGTGGCTTTGGTGTGCGCATCTAACCTAGGCTGATAGTAATGTAGATGCACTATCCCTTTTTTCTTTACATAAAGATTACTTGCTCAGAAGGGACACAGATGTCAAAGTCCACTCTGTGCACAGCAAGTTTGTTGTTTTTAGTTGTCTTTAACAGTACCAGTATAAAAAAATAGAAAAGAACCCTGTCTTAAAGAGGCCCTATTCTGCTCTTTGGGGGTTTCCCTCTCATGTAGTGTGTTATTGTTTTTTGTCCATGTTAATGGTCTGCAAAGGACAAGGTTAAAATCCCTGTGTTCCCCCCAGCCTGAAACGCCTCCATTGGACTCTTTTGTCTGCTTTCGGAACATAATGTCATCATTATGTAAGACTTGCGCTTTTATTGGCTAGAGTTCCAACACATTTATGTTACAGGCTAAGGGGCGGGACATGTCTAAGCAGTTGACCAATCACAACCGAGGCGGACTGGGCTCTGGTTTCAGACGGAGGGTGAAAAGAGGTCCTGCAGCACGATCAGTATGAGAAAAATAAAAACCTTTTTGAACATTAAGAAGAAGAATATAGAAGATGGACCTTTATTAATGGAGACATTTCATAGTAGAGGAACACAAATACTAATATGAACCTGAACATTTGCAGAATATGTCCTCTGTATTTTTAAAAAGGGTAAGGCAGTTTTTTTCCACCTTAATGGCAAACATAATCTGGGGAAATCTGTAATTAAGTTGAATAGACCTTTTCAAAGCAGGCATTTAGACTAGTCACACGCAGGTCTGACTAATTACATTATAATGGTGGCATATGTTTTGCATGATTTCTGGAACAAAGCCATCATTGATGTTGTTAGTTCTACTTGTGTGCATCATCTGCTATGACAAATTAAAAGGTCTGCTGTGAATAAAGTCTACGGATCGCATATGTTTGGGAACAAGTTAAAGTCTCTCGCAGCATTTTAAGAATTTATTCCAACATTTTAAAAAGGAAAAGCACTATATAAATATTATTTGTATTATTAACTGTTATAATTGTTTTAAATAGTACTACTTACAGTAAGCAAGGTTTGACACATCTTTACTTGTATATTGTAATAAAGCATTTTCCCAGTGTGGAAGTAATGCTCTCTTCCCCCACGGCCAGAGGTTGACAACCGCTGGGGTGAGATACTTATTCATGATATTAACGCCATCTTGTGGAAAATGTAATAAAAAACACATGAAAACACAATTGTTACCATTGCCAGGAAAAAATACTAATTTTGGACAAGCTGGTTACACCAGTCAAACTATAATCAATATTATGAATTAGTGAACACATTTGTTATATTACATATTAAACCTTTACCATTAGCATGGCTAGAATAATCCATAAAGGAGAATTGATCTGCGGGCCTCTGTTGACCCTCTTTTTTCCCCATGTATATTTTGACACGGATCTTCTCTACAACACAGATACACAAGCAAACTGATAATACAGATACATATAATACGTGCTGATATTGGGCTTATCCTCCTGAGACCCACCCATTCATTTTTGTCCTCTGTGGAGGACATTTGGTTTTGGTCCATAACTATGAGGCTATACATGCCACAGCATTAAGTCCAATTGTACTCCACAGAGGACATCCTGGGCTTTTCAGACATGTGACATATGTGGGGGTGTGGCTTTGAAAAAGATAATTTCATTGTATTTCAAAATGGCGTCCATCAACACAAGCACTATTTATAGAAAGAGAAATGGTAAGTTTGTAATTTTGTAATTACCAATGTTGTGAGGTCAATATTTTTATTAATTATAGTAAGGGAACATCTTATGAGTTAGTGTAGTGAGTCTCAGAGCAGTGTAATAATTATTTGACCTAAAACTAAATGTTTTTATGAATGTCCTCTGAGGAGGACATGGGGATTTGCTAACTTTTTATTTCCCCCATTTTACACAACACACATGGAGTCCACTATGGGCCAAACTAACACGTAGGTTTCTGTAGGGTTCATGGCAGACGGATGCAGTGGGAAAACATACATCAAGTGTCAGATGTATCTCTGCATTTAAAAAAAGGATGGAGTACTACAAATGAGGGCTCAATATTTGTTGCATTGAGTTGTTGTGCTCTAATGTTGTCTAAATGTACTTGTATGTTAATGCTGTGTACTATGCTTCGCATAACTAACACTTGATGTCCTCTACAGAGGACACACAATAAAATAAAAATAAAAATATATATTTTTAGTTTTTGTTAGTCATTATGTTAATAACACCCTAAAGACTTGTGTGATCAAAAAAAAAAGGAAATTTTAAACCTTTTTCTTTCTGGGTCTCAGGAGGATTTATACTGCTGCATATTCATAATATGTTTTGCAAGTAATCAGATTTCAACAAACCAACTTAGACATAATAAATATGGGGACCTTACTGTAACAAATGCATATTTTGCCCAGTTGGTGAAAACAAGTTAAACAAACTAAACAAACATGGATGGGATGGATGGTTGATGGAATGATAAGAGCATAACTTCTCTTTTAATTAGTGACTATAAGTGCAATAAAATACTATTTTCTGACATAGAGAGAAAAGTAGGTGTAAAATATTGCAATTTCAGGAACATTTTAGGCAGATTGTCACTCTCTCACATGATTGCTTCACAGAGCTCCTGTGATCACATGCTGTTCCACATAATTATTCATGTGTGCTGTCACATGCCATCTGTATAGATAAGCAGCTTCACATGCGCTCACACAAGGCAGAGCGTGCCGTTATTCATTACATCAAACCCAAATTTGGTTTAACGGTGCATCATGAGCATACAAAGGGGTTTAAATGTGGAGTCTGTTCAGGAACTCTAGGATGGCAAGAAACATTTTTGATCCTCTCTTCATTTGATTTCCACTTTATTTTCTACTTCACAACATCTGAGATGGGAGTGTGTATGTTCATAGACTCATCATTTCATTTGGAATGACAACTATGAAATAAACATGTAGTGATTACAAGGCATTACCAAGAGATGAAAAATGTCAATTCATTCCTGGGCTATATAGAGTCAAATATATAAACAACACATTTACTTTTTTTAGTATATATTTAAACGTGTTATTCCTGATAGGGAAATCAATAGATAAAGGTTCTTGTCATGTCCATGAGATTGACATATTTAGCCGTCAAACCATGTGTTCATTTAGACAACATTTTGTATTTATTCAATTGTAAAAAAGCTTCCAAGGCTAGTCACAGTACTATAGATTTTATAATGAACTTTTTTCTATATTAATACAGATATCTTTATTTAATGTATATCTCCTGGGACCCAGCCCATTGAAAATGTCCACTGTAGTGGACATTTTGTTAACATAAATCTCCTTTTACTCTTTTGAGCTACTCTATCAATCTCTGATGTACTGAACAGAGGACATCCTGGTCTTTCCAGTGATATGTCATTGGTTAAAATTGCATGCTGGGAAGTTCCTCTTTCTTTTCATCCAAAATGGCTGGCATACCAAAAATAAAATGTTATAGAAGCAGGAGAAGTCAAATATTGTTGAATAATTGTAATTTTTACCATGAAAATCATATATGTTCTTGTTTTATTAACATGTGAGGAACTATATAATTAGTTCTGAAAGCAATTAAATAATTCAAGTTTTGAAATAACAGCTCTTTTATAAATGTCCATTCTAGTGGACGTCAGGACCATCTTCATGGACTTAATGACTCAATATTGTTGCAGGAGACGGAACTGAAGCAGACATTTTCTGTAACAGATAGTTAAGGGAGATTCAGATTTTGTGCTCTCAGAAGATGAGAGAGATGAGAATTTCACACCTGGGATAGAAGAGGGTCAAGAAGAAGGGAGGAAAAGATGCAGGAAGCTCCATGAGCGCACAGATACAGAGACAGATAGGGACGAGCTGGAAAGACATGTCCCTCTGTGGGCCAAGAGTAGCACGTATGTCTTATTGTTGTTTTTATTTTAAGTGGAGCCATGAAAAATGAGAATTGCCTCAGGAATGCCAAGTTTGTTTCCATGGAGACCACATCCATAAAACTAGTCAAGATGACCCTACAGCCCGTGCCGACTGGAGTCAATGAGGTACTTTTCCCAGTACATTGACTACAAAGTCTTTGAAGATCTGGAAAGATTCACCAAAAACCAAACTAGTATTTTAGTGACCAAATAAACAGCAATGTTCAGATCAATTACTTATGTTTTAAATAAAGGTGAATGTATTCTTGTATTAATATCACTCTATAACCATAATACGTTACATAGTCTATCTGTTCATTTTGGCTGTCTTTTCAAACTAAAATGGTCGACGTCCTCTACAGTGGACATAGGCTACTGTAACATTTAAAAATAAAATAAAATTTAAAAAGTCTAAATTGCAAGATGTTTTTTATTTTTTTTTTAAATAGTTCTGTACAACTTTAACCCATTTACTGTCAACATGCAACTTCATACACTTCTTCACGTTGGAACACTATTTAACAATACTTTACAATATGTGTGCTTTACTCAATACAACGATCTTCTCCCCTTTACAGAGTATCAGCATAGAACCGGAACTCACTTCTCGCGCGCTCTGACACGTCAGCTGTAGGTGCCGGACGCAGTTAGTTGTTGCACGCGCCGCGTTTCCTGGTTCCTCTGTGTTGATATTCGCCGATGTAAACTGTTCAAAGTCAAACGGTAGTATTTTCCTTCGGTTTTATCACCGTTATTAAGTTGCCATCCTGTTTTCGAAAGAATAATTAACGAATAAAATCCACTTCCGGTTGATTTCACCTGTAATCCTGCCGCTTGTGTTCAGTATGGGTGATTTAGCATGCTGTTATCACCAGGTATGCATGAAATCATCTTCAATCTTGTTTAAATTCATTTTTCCATCTGCTTGCATGTCCTTTCTATGCCTTCATATTTGCTGTAATTAATCTAATGGAGAATATGTGTTTCCTGATCTAATTGCATGTTGTCATTTAGTTGTATTCTATACCGTTACACCTGCGTTAACCATTCAATGATTTACATAATTATTCTTAATTTAATTTCTCTCTATGGTGACAGGGAACCAAGCTATTAATGTGGAAACATTGTATTAGTTAAGGACTTATTTCACAATGTGGTCAGACAGTTTGTCTAATTCACTTGTACTATAATAATATAAATTGTACTTAAATAGTACCTAGTATACATTGAGTGCTGTTCAACTTGCTTAAAATCAAATCAATTAAAACACACCAGAAAATGCAAGTACTGCTCTTTAAGACCAAGCTATTAAAGGAATAACAGAAACCCATTAAACACAACAACAAAAGACTGAAACAAAGGTTAGTGTAAGAATGATAAAAAGGAAGAGATAGTTAGTTCATTTAACAAAAGTCCATTTTCATTTAAATATGTTCACAAAGCCTGCATCTCTTGGTAGGGATTTACATAGTTTAGTAACTAAGTAATAAAGAAAACATCTTTATGTGGGAGAGTTCATACAAAAAAACTCAATTATTAAGCTCATAAATACAAAGCTATAGCTCTAATGAGTATTTTTTTTTATTGAGAATATCCTGGATCTTTTGTGAGTCCCTGGAAGAGTCACCTTTCACCCGAATAATCACTAAATAATTAATTATTCTCTGTATTTGCCCTTTCCTCTTGCCATGTGCACTGTGCTTAGCAGTATATCATATATTAGTCTGCTGGTCATCATTCCAGAAACTCGCTTTTCACCAAAACGTTTTCTTGCAACTATTTGTATGTAGTCAAGCGCTCAATGTAGCTCAATGCATGTTTCCACTTATCCAGTTTGCTGTTCGCTGTCATTACACAAACCTGTGTATTCAATACGGTATTGCATATTGTTGTCGTCTTTGTATCTTTGCTTGCCTGTCTGGGAGGTTCTGTAGTTTTGTCATGATGACTGTGCAAAAAAAAAAAGTTTAATTTGAATGGGATTCAAAGGTTGATTTATGGTAGCTTTAAAAACGTGTAGTGAAATATCGTTCAGTTTAGATGTTTGAGTATCTTATTTTTATCAATTTTTTTAATTTTCTTAATGTTATTCTATGATTTTTTTTTTTATTATATTATTTATTTATTTATTATTGTATTTTTATATTATTTAAAGCGACTTTGAGCACCGGGAAAGCATTTTAATTATTGGTATTATTATAATTATCTTTATTCTGCAGATTTCCTGAGGGCACAGCGGGTTTGATGCCCACTGCTCCAAGATGGAGCACTCCGATTTTATGACACACAAGAACGGGCGCCAGAGGAAGGCGGCGGGGGTCGCCCTCTCATCTGAGAGCATGACGGACATGGACAGGGTAGAGATGAGCTCTCCTGATCCGGAGTTAGAGGAGGAAGCAGAGGGTCTCATCAGAGGGTCTGACTCAGAGGACAGGAGGCACAGGGTCCGGCCTGCTGGGGTCCGTGGAGAGTTGGGGAACGTTTTGCTTCTTCTGTTCCTGTACGTGCTGCAGGGGATTCCTCTGGGCCTGGCGGGGAGCATCCCTCTGATTTTACAGAGTAAGAGCGTCAGCTACAAGGACCAGGCCTTCTTCAGCTTTGTCTTCTGGCCATTTAGTCTCAAGCTCCTCTGGGCGCCGCTGGTGGACGCGCTCTACTTCAGCAGGTTTGGTAGAAGGTAAGAATGACGTTTTCTTGCTGCTGCTTTCATCTGTGTGGATTTGCTGCCCCTCTTTCGTACATTGTGTATGTTTTTTCACCTTTTTCTGCAGAAAGTCATGGCTGGTTCCCACACAGTACCTGCTGGGCCTCTTCATGCTCTACCTCTCTGTGACGGTCAATTCCCTGCTGCAGAGTGAAGGAGGACCAAAAGTGGTAACACTCACAGCTGTCTTCTTCATGCTTGCCTTCCTGGCAGCCACACAGGTAGGACATCACAAACACTGTGACATGATCCTACATTCTGGAGGATAAATACATTAAAGTTGATGGTTTCTCTTTGACTGTTAAACACCTGAACTTTTGAAAGAACATCCATAACATTCATCTGTTTGCAACTTATATATATCAATATTCCAATTACTTGTATATAGACTACTCTGCACTATTTCTATTATATTATATTTTATTTACTTGCACTATTTTATCTGTTGTATTGTGTTGCACTGTTGGAGGACCCTATGACCTAAGATTTTCATTGTCATAACTACACTGTAGCTATGCACACATGACAATAAAAGCCTTGAATCTTGCCTCCATTGGCTGTATCGTCTCTACCTCTCAGGACATCGCTGTGGACGGCTGGGCCCTGACTATGTTGTCCCGGGAAAATGTGGGCTATGCTTCTACATGTAACTCTGTGGGCCAGACAGCTGGATACTTCTTAGGGAATGTGCTCTTTCTGGCTCTGGAGTCTGCAGCCTTCTGCAACAAATACCTCCGATCAGAGCCCCAGGACACAGGCATCGTGACCTTGTCAGGTATCACATATCCCTGACATAAACTTAACAGAAACATATTCACTTTTTGACCCTTGCATTGGAATTTGAGTTGAATGAAGTCTCTAATGCTGTCTTTCTTCTGTGCAGACTTCTTGTTTTTCTGGGGGATAGTGTTCCTGGTTTCCACGACGTTGGTAGCCATCATGAAAAAGGAAACCGAGCAGGGCAAAGGGAAGAAGAAAGTCCAAGAGGAGACACAGGGCGTCATGGCAACCTACAAGCAGCTGTTCAACATTATCAAGATGCCCACCGTCTTCACCTTCTGTGCCTTGCTTCTCACTGCCAAAGTACTTCACCATCACTTGGTTTATCTTTTTGAAATATGACTTTGAGAGTGTTGCTTGTTCTTACCGTGAATATATGTTGTGATTAACAGATTTCTCTGTGTTTCAGATGGGCTTCTCTGCAGCGGACGCAGTCACAGGTCTGAAGCTGGTGGAGGCTGGAGTCCCTAAGGAGCAGCTGGCCCTGCTGGCAGTGCCCATGGTGCCTCTGCAGATCCTGCTCCCTGTGATCATCAGTAAATACACTGCGGGGCCCCGACCCCTGGATGTCTTCTACAAGGCCTTTCCTTTTAGGTACAAGCACACACACCCATGCACTAGCATTAAATACAATAACAGATAACAGAGTGCTGCTGTTTGTTTCCTTGTATCTTCTCTTAGTATGTTTCCTTGTTTATGTTGCAAATGGAGCTGCTATGATGCACATTTCAGACTTGCTCTGACATAAAGTATTATCGTGTCATATCGTATGGTTTTGTGCTTGCAGGTTGCTCATAGGACTGGGGTACGCTCTGCTGGTGTGGTTGACCCCCAGTTTAAAACAAGATGGAGGGTTCCCTGTTTACTACTACGGCATAGTGCTGATTAGCTACGCATTGCATCAGGTTTGTTTTTCTGTTGCTTTTTGAATATGTTGTTTTTCTTCCTTTTTCAAATGATGGCATTTTGGGTCGATGGCGTTTGGGTCACTATTCTAGGATTGTCAGCAACACTAATGGCGCATTTCCACTGCAGGGCCTCGCACGGCTTAGTACGGTATAGTTAGGCCTTGGAAGGCCAGGCTCACTTTATGCTGCGTTTCCATTACAGTTTAGGAACTGGGGCAGTAACTATAGTAACGCAGTGTAGGCGGAGCCGTGACGTCATCTTCAATGCAAAACACAAAACCAACATCAGCCGTTAGCTGTTAGCACTCAGAGCTCACAGCTCCTCATATCTGTTCAGAAACTAGACAAAAGTTAAACAAGTACAAACCACAGACTGTCTGTGTCATGGCGAATACAGTCGCTGCTTTATTTATGTCTGTATAGGCCGTTGTTGTGAGTGTGGACGGTCGGAGCATATACTGCGTTAGCTTAGCCAATCTCCATTTAGAAAACACGCATTTTAAAAGGTTTTTCGCCTGCCGTCTGTCTGCAGACTTGTCAAAGCATTAATTCATGGTTTTTACTTCGGCATCATTTTGAAACGTGTATTAAAATTAAATCACGGTCAAATATGTTCATTTTGTTGTAGTTGCCAGCGATTCTCTCACAGCCAGAAAAACTGTGAAAAAGTACCCGTTAGCCGGAACTACGCCTAGTGGAAACGCAACCAAAACGGGCCGGGCACGGCACGCTTAAAACCGCGCTCCGCGCTGTAGTGGAAATGCACCATAAGACAGTGACAGTTTGCTTCTAAAAAAGGCCTCAGGACCCTCTGCACATTTCTACTTTGGTTAACATTATATTAGGAGGACCAGGTGTTCGTTTTGTGCAGGGCTGCACAGCAAATAGACACCATTCCCCAAATCTGATCGACCATGGCTCTTGTAAACGTGTCAGTATGGCCTGTTTGGTTTGCTTCAGTGAACACACAGTTTGAGAGCTGATGAGAACAAGCAAAACGTGTTTATTACTGAAGCAAACAAACTTCACTTTGACATTGTTTGTTGGAAAAAAGATCCATTCAAACCAAATATATTTAAGTCCTTTACCTGCATCCTGTGTGCAACCAAATCAACAAATAGTTAACCGTTCTTATTCATTTCTATATGCTAATGATTTCAATGAGAACGTTTATTTTTTATGGTTGGTTAGACAAATCTGAACAGTTGCAGATTTTGTGCCCTTGGAAAAAAAGGTTTTTTTTCTCGGTTTCAATTCTTGTTTTTCAGTCAGGTCTTTTTTTAAACTTTCAAATCCTATTCTTTTGTTCGTAGTTTATGATTAAATATGAAAGACACGTGCAAAAAAATATAAGATATTATGTTTTTATTTAATTTTAACCAATTGTATTTAATTGTATTATATTTGTAACTCCTGTGTTATGCCTGTAAATATGCTGCTATGACATCTTTCTTCCCGATTTGGGGATTAACAAATTACATATAATCTTATTTAATCCACATTTGTGCATCGTCATTGCGAGCTTGGATGTCATGTCTCATATTTCAAGTTAATGTTTAAAAAGGTACACAACATGATTTGCACTATCTCTATACACTTTATTTTGTTTAATTTCCACGAGATGTCACTGTGTAACAGAAGAAAATCTTAAATGTCAATAGAAAATGTTTCTTTTCAATGGATTATTAAAACTATTCATCAGAGATAGGGATTTAGGAGTAATTGACTAAATATTAGGGCTGTCAAGTTAACGCGTTAACGCAAAAAAAAATTAACGCCACTAATTATTTTAACGCGATTAACGCATGTGTATTTTTTGTCCTCGGCCGCCGTAGTTTCAGAGCGTATCGAGTTTAAAATACCATCTACAAGCTGATGCTGACAGCCCCGCTCCTGCTGCCCGCTTGTGGCAGACCACACTTCCACGCTCACCGGCAGGCCCGGACTGGCCATCGGGAGGACCGGGAGGGTGGGTGTATGTGTGGCGCGAGCGAAGCACACCTTACGTGTTGTTGTTAGCATCTGGTGCTAGCTAGCTGAGCTAACGGATATAAGGAGCTGTTTCAATGAAAACAGAGGAGCGACATTTCGCCGACAACTGCGCCGAGCACTTGACTTTATGCAGGTAGCCAGACAGCACACTCAGCACGGATAGTGCGCGCAACACAGCTCATACACACAGGCATATATGCCTTGAGCTGCACATAGCTCCAACGATCCATCACAGTGTCTCCACACACACACACACACACACACACACCACACACACACACACACACACACACACACACACACACACACACACACACACACACACACACACACACTATTGTATGAGAGAGGTTCCAGGTTGAATTGAGGTGAATATTTGTAATGTTCAGAGGTTGTTGTGTTTAATATTCATGAGAATATTTGTCATTGTTCAAATGATAATAAACAAACATATAAAGCATAGTTGTCCACTCATATGTTGATAAGAGTATTTAAAAACTTGAAAAATATCCCTCTAAGGTACATTTAGAACAGATAAAAATGTGCGATAATTTGCGATTAATCGCGATTAACTATGGACAATCATGCGATTAATCGCGATTAAATATTTTAATCGACTGACAGCCCTACTAAATATATATTCTGTTTCTGGCCCTTGTATTTTAGCTGTCAGGCTGTCAAGTGTTTGAGTGCCATGGTTAGTCCGAAAATCAGCTTTAACAGATGTTTCCCATGTTGCCCCCCTAGGTGACGCTGTACAGCATGTACGTGGCCTGCATGGCCTTCCATGCCAAAGTGAGCGACCCCCTCATCGGGGGGACCTACATGACGCTGCTGAACACCGTCACCAACCTGGGGGGAAACTGGCCCTCCACCGTGGCTCTGTGGATGGTGGACCCCCTCACCTCTAAGGAGTGTCAGGGGGCGGCGGGCAGAGCTGTGGCTCTCCGGAGGAGGCGGGGGTGAGTGAAAGAGGAAGAGGAAGAGGAGGGAGGGAGGTCAAATCTGCAGTGGTGTTGTTACCTGTGTTACTGGGCCTTTTCCCTCCAGTAGATCTGCCCAGTTGGGCTGCATTGCTGCAACACGTGTATGAAGATCCTGGAAGGGCCCCCTTTAATCCCTTAAGCGGCCCTATGGGGCTTACACAATTCCTCCACTGACCCAAATACACCACAGAAAGACGGCTTTAAAACAGTCAAACCTATAAGATTTATTACAAAGACGCATATAAACAATATACATCCTAGGCTGAGAGGCAGAAACAACAGGGTTGCTAACAAATGATGGAAAATTAAGCTTCCTTACTTCAGTGACAAACGTTGCAGGGTTAAGAAAAGGTGTGAAGAGAATTCCTCAGGACTCTCATTGTGATGAGATGGGAGGATGTTACTGAGTCTGCTTTTCTCCGTACAGCGTCTACTATAGACATCGAGGTACTTCACCCTGTATCGCCATTCAAACATGTTGAAAAAAAGTTGAAGAACCCACACAGCTCAGTAAACACTGAGCTCATTTTACAGTAATTCTAATACGTTTTTCAACCTTCAGGTTTTTTCCTTTCTGGTTTTAAATAGTGTTGAAGGTTCAGAACATATACGCATTTTAAACAAGCTAATAAGCAGCGTAACTTACATGATCTGCGTTCTCTTTCGGTTGTTTCCGTGAACGTCTGAATGTTGTGTGACATTGCGGCCGCAAGGTATTGTGGGACGGCATTATCTCCTCTCCTTTTCTATAGGATGGTCCAGTGTTTCCTAAGCTAAAGGAGATAGTAAAGGAAGTATTTAAGCTCCTTTCCTATCATCTAGAGCACATGTGTCAAACTCAAGGCCCGGGGGCCAAATCAGGCCGTGGTGGATTTAATGTCGGCCCGCAGGATAATTTCTAATTACTATAGATCTGGCCCGCCGGTATATTGCACGCACACCTTCACTCAATCCTGAGGATCTCCTCAGCTCAGAGCCTGACCCCAAACATTGATGACCTTGCACCCAAGATGAGATGCCAAGTATCTGGCTTGAACTAGCATCACAGAGCAGCACACTGAGTTTCAATGGATGTTTCTTCTGCACTTTGTTTCTTGCGACAAACAGGGCATGTTTGGTTTTTGCTTTGAGGGGAATGTTTTTTTTTGAAGCTGTTGTTGGCCTGTGGGAAAATGTAATCATAAGAAATGACTCTGGAAAGCTGCAGATAGAGCCATAAGAAATGAATGCAACTGATTATTTATGTTCAATGTTGTTTTTATAGGCAATCATTTAAGCTTTGTTAGTTCCAGGTTTAATTATGTGCAATAAGTTAATTCAATACGTTTTGCAATAAACATGAACCAGCTCCGGCCCTCGACTAGTACCCATTTTTTAATTTTGGCCCACTGTGATTTGAGTTTGACACCCCTGATCTAGAGAATTCAAACGCTCTTATCATGGCTGACACTTAGAGATATCCAGGTAAGTTTTTACTAAGTTAGGAACCTCCTGAGAGAAATGTACAATTCGACGCAACCTAGCAGTCCCCACTCGGCAATGCACATGTTACAGGAATGAAAAACACCTGGGCAGATCTCCTGGAGTGAGAAAGGCACAAGAACACATACAGGTGTATTTAGTTAGACTTTACTAATTGACCTCCTTGTCCCTGTTGTCCCTCCAGCTGTGCGTTAAGGAGGGCGGCGCCTGTGTGACTACACTGGACGGTTTACTACGTGGAGTCGGTGGTGTGTGTGGTGATCGGTCTAGCCTGGTGGCTGTGGTTAGGGAAGAAGATGAGGCGGCTGCAGGAGCAGAGCCCCGCTGCGTGGAGGTGCAGATCCAATCACTGATGACACTCCTCATCAGGACTTCTGACTCTTTCTTTGTTGCACAGCTTAACGGTGGACATGTTTGTTTCACTCCGGTCCATCCTGTTTACTCCCTGCTCCAGCTGTTCAGAAATCACTCTCAAACTGTGTCACCTTGACCTGCATAACTCTGATGAAAGACGTAAAACTCCTTCTCATCATTACTATATCCCGGAGAGCTGAAAACAACGAGCTAGCTAAAACGTTTTATTTTTTATCCTGAAACTTTACTTTGCTGCTTCAAACAGCCTTACCAAACGAGAGCTGAGTCAAAGAGTGTGTTCAAATACATTTCTGGGTTGTTTTTATCCGCTTGGATGGCCAGTGTGTGGCTAGAAATGTTAGCAAAACAAATCATTTTGAGCCCCTCCACAAAAAGAAATTAGTAAACCCACACTTCAGTCTTGTTCCCGGCAAGTCAGCATTTAGCGATACTAAAGGGAACAGACGGCGAAACATACACATGTACTTCTTCTAATGAACTGTAAGCATCATTTCTCTAATATCTGATGCTGGTAAATCCAAGTAACCAGTATCAAGACTATCTATCATTGCTGTTTGACTCAGAATCTAACCAAATGTTGTTTTTTTATGATTATTTAAATACATGTTTTCCTCTGAGTAATTTGTGCCTTGTTTACTGTTTCAAAGCCGGTTGATTCATGAAGGCAGGGGATGCTACCTTTGAAATTGATGAACATGCATTCAGTAACACTGTAGTCTGTAGTAGATTACACAAAACATAGCTGCTATCGTTCTTTAGTTTTGATATACTTTATGATAGGACGCTCAGCACACATTCCTCATGAATACAAGATGAGCTGTCCAAAATATTAAATGTTTAAGATCATCAGATTCATTTTCTACGCAACAGGTTTATAGCGCAACATGTGATTTTTTTTTCAAAATTCCTACTTTAGTCTCAGATCTTGAGAAAACATTCACTTTCGGTTAGGGCTGTGCGATTATGGCAAAAATCATAATCACGATTATTTTGGTCAATAATTGATATCACGATTATTGAATACGATTGTTCATTGGCTTTGAAAACGTCAATTTATTGAACTTTAAAACAAATTAAAATAATAATTTGAACAGTATCTGTTTAACTGTTGATTACCCTGAATGTATAATTCAACTGAAAAACCAATAAATAAAATAAATATAAATTTACATAAATAATATCAAAATAATAAATACCAATAAAAAAAAAATAATAAAAATAATAAAAATCAACAATATTTGGAGCGCACTTCAACAAGCTACTAAACATATATAAATAAATTAGACTATAAAATAAATTAGATCAGATATGTTGCAGTGCACTGTCACAACCAAGCAAGCAAAGCAAAATAATCGTTTTTTTCGATTATGTTGTTTTGTAATTGTGGCAGGCCAAAATCGTAATTGCGATTAAAAAACGATTAATTGCACAGCCCTACTTTCGGTCAGATCTCAAAAAAATTTCACATGTGGCCCTAATCCTCTTCTGTAGCTTTCCCTATTATAGGACCAATTCAAATCCTTGGAGCAATATTTGACAGTGCAGCTATACACTTTTTTTACTATCATTTTTTTTTAAGTTTAAAGACATATTTGTCTCTAAATGTTTTTTTAAGCCTATTCGGTTTTGCAGCATTCTCAAGTTTTATAGATGCATAAATGTTGAGACACATTGTATGTGAATATGCTGTACACTAACTATCAATTTACAGAGTAGTCCTAATTCAGACAACCATAACGTTTAACAGTTTGGATCAAGCGTTTCTTGTGGCACATCCCATCTAAAGGGGACATTAACACCAGCCTGAGAAGTGTGTAAATAAATACATCAATATTTCTTGCTCCAAAAAACAATTCATCACTCAGACCAGCAGCCTCTGTGAGAAAGCAAACGCCATTAAAGTCTTGCCTGTTGTACATAGAAGTGAATGTTACAGTATTTCTCTAAATCCAGCATTTAAATACAAAATGTAAGGACACAATCAGGGCTCAGTGTAAGGATACGTTTAACTTTTACATCGTTGTGTATCTGATTAACCATGCCGACTTTGTGAAGTACGTTTTGAAGGTCAAACCTTTCTAGATTATGACGGTAGAAAATGTTTTTTTAAACATGTTTGGCCTGTTACTACTCTGAAATGTCATCTGTTTATTTAACTTCAGACTACAAGCCTTTCCTTTAAAGTTATTTTTATTTGTTTTTGTACCAGCACATCACATGTTTCATTATTATTCATGAGAGCCTTTTTGCCATTACTGGGCACTACATTTGTTGTATGATTTTAGATAGACTGTGTGACATTTTTATAATATCAATGTTTCAGATCAGTAACTTTAATCTGCTGAATTGGCTTTAAAGGTGTTTGTAAATCTTTTCGCTGCATACAATTTGGTTTTAATTTCTCAGTTACCTCATCGCACTTAAATTGAATGTTCTCGTTGATTTTGATTTTATTTGCCCATCTTTTCAGATCCCCGATCATATATTGAAATTCATTGAACAGGGTGACCCTATAGAGAGACATTTAAATATGCTATCAGCAGCGATCTTAATGCTCTGACGATGAATGCAATGAAAAAACTCTTGTATACAAATAAAAATACACTTGTGAGGTTTCTGCATACAAAAAAAAAGACACGATCCATTCTGAATTTTTTTTTACATTTTATTATAATTGAACTTGCTTTTTGGGATTTCCAAAATGTCCCTCCTAAACAAGTGAACGCTGATGGAACAGGCTGTGTATTATACCCCCGAGTATTTGGAGCATTGAACCCGATAACTGCTGCTCAGCGTCCAGATCAACTGGAGCCGCGGCCTGCGTCTCTCCTGGGGGTCAGTCGGGGGTCCGATGATCGTCGCAGGAAGCAGCACCGAGATCAGCTTTGGGTTATCAGGCTGATACATCCCACATGGTAGCAGATTACTGAAGTATTCCAACGTCAAATAAATCCTCCACAACACCAACGCTGAATAAAACGTTTAATTGAAGCTCTCTGATTGATGTATAGCACTGTTAATGCATCCTTTTTGTAAAACATCGTAAGACATAAAGCTATATTCATCAACACCAGAACCTTTTATTTGTCCGCCGCTCATAATGATTCTTTGATCTTTTATTTTTTTCCTAAGAAATCATATCATTTTATTGAGAGCCAGGAAGCACTTTGTCTAAGAAGAATAAGAAGTGTCAAGGTCTCCCGATGGAAGCAGATCCCTCACAGGCATTCATTTAAATAGCACTCAGCACTTTGGACGTCGTCTAGTACAGACTTAGGAGGAAATTGCTTGCATACTTTGATTTATTATCGCCTTGGATTTATTTCCTCAAGAGTTTCCAGTCCTACGAGTCCAGGTCATAGCGTGAGAAGACGAGGTGGAGACGTGGCGATGTCGCTGCAGACCCACGCACACACTCCCTGCTGTGACAGTATATGGAGTGTGTGTATTTGGATTGTATTTGTCTCTAGCATCCATGTGGTTTTTTTTGCTTTAAAAAATATCAACAAAAGAAGGGGAAAAAAAATAAAGAGTCACCAAATAAACTCTCCTAAAGAGGCGCGGCGGGTCATAGGTTCATACGTAGATGGTCGGGGCGTTTAGCCACCACGGGGTAGGCCTGCTGCTTCATCTGACCCAGGTGGACCCCCGTGGGCTGGCGGATGGGGAGGGGGGCCGAGGCCTCGGAGTTGGAGGTCATGTCCATCTGCTCCGGGGTGGACAGCTCCATGGCCTGGTCCTGAGGGGACTGCATGACACTCGGACCCCTGCCGGTGAGGAGGGGGCTTCGGGCCCAGCACTCCGCCCCGGAGAACTTCACCGGGCTGAGAGGAAAAGGAGAGACAGAGGTCATTGGAGGTCAACATGGAGCCAACGTCAAAGATTGAAGACCCACAAAAATCCTCTCTTCTGTATTCAGGGTGTATGCAGGAATCCTGAAGTCAGATGTAACCCTTTAAGACCTTTTTTAAGACCCTTTCCATACATTTTAAGACCTCATCGCCACTTCGAGTTCTAACCGGTTACCTTGGCGACACACTTTACCTCACATTGACTATATACAGTATTGATTGTCCTTCCTCCTTATCTTCCAACCATTTGGACGCAGACTTGCATTTCCCCATAACGATGTTGGTTAACAACCGGCGTAAACGACCTTCGCGCGCTATCAAGCAGTGAGCGTGCGATGTCCTGTTCAGATGACGTCAAATCCAACGGGATGCCATAAATAAACTACACAGAATCACACTACACACCTACGCAATGATTACATTCAGGCAACTGTAGAATACAACCTCTTTGGACAATTTATATACTTATTGAAAACAAGCTACAAAATGTAATACCTTGGAAAATGCCGTTTAATACTTTTTAAGACCCCGCGGACACCCTGATGTAGCATTTGGATAAGTCTGGCATTATAAAGCTAATGCAGCAGCATCTTTTAAAGAGGCCCTTTTTTCTACTTTTTGGGGATTTCACTCTCCTGTAATGTGTCTATAGGTTTTTGTGCATGTATCACAACAGCTAACCAACCAGAGCAGACTGTGCTCTGGTTTCAGACAGAGGGTGAAAAGAGGTGCTGCAGCATGCAGTATGAGAAAAAGAGCTTTTTGAACATTAAAGCATGAGACATGTCCCAGGAGAGACAGAATACTAATATGAACCTGAAAATGAGCATTATAGTGCCGCTTTAAAGGAGACATGTCATGGCCATTTCTACTGATCATAATTCCATTGTTGAGGTCTACTAGAATAGATTTATATTGTGCATTTTTCCAAATCACATGGTTTCTCATACAGCATCTCTGTAAACTACGTGTATTCACTGAATTTCACTCTCTGCCTTTAACGGCTCGTTGTAGCTCCCAAAGCTCCAGCCCCCACCCTCCCTGTGAGACCAGTGTGCTCTGATTGGTCGGGACGTTGTGAATCGCGCTGAGCTCCGTGGAGGTGTTGTTTCCTTGTTAGCATACACAGCCAAACTCATCCTGAGCACAAACTCACATCCGAAGTAAAAACAATAAGTGTGGCTTGATATTGAGTAAGAAAAAGGTTGATAAACGCTGTGAGAATGGGTCTGCAGAGAGAATTTCGCCACGATCCCAACTGTCATGTCTCCTTTAAGAGATATTGCTAAATGTATGTGTTTGGTTAAGAGAGATTGCGTAATGTGTTTGCTAAACTATTTTTATTTAAGAACCAGACTCAGCAAATGAGAGATTTAAGGAGAACTGCATTTGATCTATTAGTCTGCATGATAAAGACTCAACAATATGTTCAGAAATATCAATGACATGACAACATGTACAATGAAATGTTCATGGATTTAATATGCCATGAAACATGTAAAAGATGAACTGTCCCCTGTGGTGACATGGGGTTTACCAATGAAGTCATTTTTCCAGCAGACACACAGACGTACCTGAGAGGAGTTCTCGGGCTGCCCACGATCCGTCGGGGTGAGCGGACTTTTGGCTCAAATGAAAACCTTTCTTTGATGTTATCCAGGACTGACGGGCGACGTACGTGAAGCCCTGCAGAAACAAAAGAGACCAGAGACACACACAGTTACACCTCACACAGAAAGACATGCATCGACTTTAACATCTGATATCAACTCCACAAGACTGCTTTTAATTCTTATTATGTATGCTGCTCTGTGATGCCCTGCCAGAATCTAATACATGAGCAAGAGCAATTCTTGTGAGCAAGACGCTGCCTGTGCACACTTGTGGTGTCTTGTTTGACATTTAGTATAATGTTAGAAAACGTTCTCACTGTGATCAAGAGACAAACAAAGGGGAATGTAGTCGGAGGATTACCAGGAAGGCTTGGTTTGCGCTCTCGCTGAGGGTGGAGTCGTCCGGGCTGTCCACCGGAGTCTGACTGGTGAACTTGGAGTCGAACTGACTCACGTCTTCAGCTGATTGCTGCAAAGACAGAAGACAAACACAGGTGAGGAGGTGTGGTAAGAGGATGGGATGTTAGCCTTTGCAGACCATTTACATGCACACAAACCTGTATAACTCTACAGGAGAGGGGAAACCCCAAAAAGCATAAAAGGGCCTCTTTAAATTGGACTTCACATAAACAGGCTTCCTACACCTGTTCCAAAGTTAAACTCAGGCTCTGTTTGAAGTATATTTTGAAGCTTTTGCAGGCCCTTACCACTCATATAGATTTCTTCAGTTCTTCCTCACATTATATAAGATGGTATTGTGCTTTAACCAACCAAAAATAGGTTTGAGAAAGCATTCTTCAAAAAGGGTGAACACACTAAAAGCAACATCCTATTTCAAAATGTGTCTTTTTGCATAACGATCACTTTTCAAACCTTGAAAACGTCACATTACATTTCAAGTAGGGCTGCTCGATTATGGCAAAAATCATAATCTCGATTATTTGGGTCAATAATTGATATCACGATTATTAAAAAACGATTATCCATTTACTTTGAAAACATCCATTTATTGAAAAAAAAAAAAAAAAAAAATGTGAACAGTATGTTTTTAACAGTTGCAAAAATAATAATGGTTTTATTTCGATTATGTTGTTTTCATAATCGTTGCAAGCCAAAATCGTAATTGCGATTAAAATCTGATGAATTGAGCAGCCCTAATTTCAAGTATTTCCTGCACCTGTACAAACCCCGCTTATACAATTTAATTATGAGTAGATATTCCAACTAACAACGTGACAGTCGGAAACAAGAGAAGACTTGGTTTCAATTTCTGAAACAGGTAGTTTAATCTGGGCTGGATTTAAAACCAACCAAGAAGCATTAGTGGAGAGTTCACAGAGATCTGATTTCTGCATCTAACATTCTCAAATGTCCCACAGCCAAACTATCAGTAATACTGAAGTGTCCGATTCAGGATTCCTTGTGACCCGATACTTACCAGGAAAGGTTTGAAGGGAGGCTCCACTTTCCGAGCCAGCAGATCCTCCCAGTTAATGTGTCTGAAGAAGGGATGAGCCTGCGGGACAGCAGAGACAAACAGAGGGGCATTAAACATTCTGAGCTGCCATTAATACAACTACAGATCTCTAAGGGTCTCTGGGTTTGTACCTGCACTTCTGTGGCGTCTCCTGCGCCCGCTCCCAGCCGCGATGAGGCGTTTCTCTTCAACAACTGTGCAACCACGAGCAAAAGGTCAAAAATAATGCTTACACAACAACAGCTACACACTCAGGATAGGTGTTAAACAAACAGGAAGTACCCGCTTCAGGAGATCTCTGGCTTCTTGTGTGAGGTAGGGCGGGAGGCTGAGCTTACACTTCAGGATCTTGTCGATGGTCTTTTTCCGGTTTTCACCCGTGAAGGGAGGCTGCAGAGGAAAGAGAGAGGAAGGGGTTACTCCAACACTCCCAGATAATGACAGAGAGTGATGAAATGATCTGTTAATGTTGTAGAAAATGCACTGACCGCTCCTGTGAGCATGTCGTACATCAGAGCGCCGAGGCTCCACCAGTCCACCGCTCTGTTGTGTCCGCTTCTCATCAGGATCTCCGGAGCCCTGCAGCGATCACAGAGCAGTTCTTATTGATTAACGAATGTGAATGAGTCAACAGTGAGCATGATAAGAGGAAAGGAAGTGTACAAGTGAGCAAGGAAGTATATGTGTATGCAGGTGCCTGAAAGCGTGGATGTGAGAGGGGAAATGAGAGAGCGCCGCTCACATGTATTCGATGGTGCCGCAGAACGTGTGTGTGACTGTGCCGTCGTGAATGGACTCTTTACACAGCCCGAAGTCGGTCAGCTTTACATGACCTGGAAGAAAACAAACACAATCAGATACAATTACTCAGAATTATTTGTGGCAAATAAACAAGAATATGTGGCAAATCCCAGGAATATCTGTATTTTCTCACACACCGTGGTTGTTGAGCATGATGTTCTCAGGCTTCAGGTCTCTGTAGATGATGCCCTTCTGGTGCAGGTGACCCATCGCCATGGAGATCTCCGCCAGGTAGAAGCTATAGAGGAAGACAAAGAAAACACGTTTGATATCGCTGATCAAAAAAACATGATAAATAGATCTTTAAATGAGTTTCAGCTGTTTGATATCTATATACCATGATATTAAATAATTCAATAAGTACAGGAGACATTTTGAAAAACAACATTTGTTTGTGAATGTAATATTTAGCCACAAAAAAAAATCGAATTATTGTTTCCAAACTCAGTTTTTTTGTTTAGATTTGAAGGCCGAATTTTATATTATCATATGTTTCACCCTCTGTCTGAAACCAGAGCCCAGTCTGCTCTGATTGGTTAGCTGGCCGGCTGTTGTGATTGGTCAACCACTTAGAGATCTCCCCCCCTAAGCCTATCAGGTATGATGTGTTGGAGCGATAGCCAATAGAAGCACGAGTGTTACGTAGTGATGTCACTGTGTTCCTGAAGTAAACAAAGGAGTCCAATGGAGGCGTTTCAGGCAGTGGAAAAAGGCATAATAAGACCTCTTTAACATACACCAAACACACTATTACAGATGATTATTTCTCATGATGACATAGTTATAGTCTGATATTAAACTACCAACACTCACCAGGCTGTGTCCTCCATGAAGATGCCCTCCCTCTCCAGCTGCATGAACAGTTCTCCTCCTGAACACATATTTATACTGTTAATGAAACACACACCCTCTCTGAAGGTCAGGGTGTGCAGCTGACCCTCACAGTCACTACTGACACGTGGTGTGTATGTGCATGTCTGGTACTGACCACTCAGGTACTCCAGGATGAGGTACAGCTTCCCCCCCGTCTGGAAGGCGTAGATGAGATCCACGATGAAGGGGTGCTTCACCTCCTCCAGGATGTTCCTCTCTGCCTTGGTGTGGGCCGTGTCCTTGGCGTTGCGAACAATCATAGCCTGGAGGAGAAGATCCACGTCAGTCAGGAGCCAGTGAGG